CCACCAAGCCAGGTCCATACTATTGGTTTTTACTTGTGTTTACCATGAGGCTTACATAAAACATCTTATATATAAAACAATCTATTTTAAGGTGATAACAACTTAACTTAGAGTGCATACAAAGCTCTACATTTTTACATCTCATCCAACATTTTATGTTTTTGACATCACAGTTACATTTATTTATATTGTGTATCCATTAACATATTGTTGTAGTTATAGTTATTTTTAATAATTTTGTATACAATTTTATTTATGTATATTTGTGTACATAAATTTATATTTAAAATTTATAATATTTTTGTATATAATAATTTCAACCTTTATAGTGGAGTTATAATTGATTTACCAACCATCATTACTATATTAGAATGTTCTGAATTTAACTATATATTTACCTTTACTAGTGAGTTTTATACTTTTATATGTTTTCATGTTACTAATTTATGTCTGCACTTAGCTTGAAGAACTCCTTTTAACATTTCTTGTAAGGCCACTCATGGTGACAAACTCTTTCAGCTTGTGTTTATCTGGAAAACTCTTTACCTCTCCTTCAATTCTGAAGGACAACTTTGCTGAGTAGAATACTCTTGATTGACAGTTCTTTTCTTTCAGCACTATGAATACATCATTCCATTCACTTCTTGCTTGCAAAGGTTTTCCTGAAAAATCTGCAGATGGTATTATGGCTGTTCTTTTGTATGTAAGGAGTTGCTTTTCTCTTGCTTCTTTTAAGATTCTCTCTTTATGTTTAACTTTTGATAATTTAATTATAATGTGTCTTAGTGTGGTGTCTTTAGATTCATCTTGTTTAGTACTTTTGGGCTTCTTAGATCTGAATGTTTGTTTTTCTCCCAAGTTTAGGAAAGTTTTAAGCTATTATTTCTTTGACTAAGCTTTCTGCCCCTTTCTCTCTCTCTTCTCCTTCTGGGATGCCTATTATCCTTTTATTGGTCCCCTTGATGGTGTCCAAGAAGTCCTTTAGGTTTACTCTTTTTCATTCTTTTTTCTTTTTGCTCGTCTTGCATGAATTCCACTGCCCTGTTTTTTAGTTTTCTGATTCTTTTTTTTGTCTAGTCTGCTGTTGAAACTCTCTGATAAATTTTTTCAGTTCAGTTATTGCATTCTTCAGCTATGCGATGTCTCTTTGGTACTTTCTTATATTTTCTATCTCTTTGCTGTAATTCTCACTTTGTTCATGCATTGCTCTCCTGACCTCAGAAAGCATCTTTATGACTGTTATTTTGAACTCTCTATTGGGTAAATGACTTTTCATTTCATTATTATTGTTTTCTGGAGGTTTATCTTGTTCCTTTGTTTGGAACATATTCTTTTTCTTCATTTTCCTTGACTCTCTGTGTTAGTTTCTGCACATTGGATAAAACAGTCACCTTTTGCAGTCTTGATGGAGTGGTCTCGTGTAGGAGATGGACCTTGTCAATCAGCCTGGGCTGAGTTCCTGGTTGTCTCTAGCACCTTTGTGATCACCTTGTGATCACCCAAGCCACTGTCTTTGTTGTTAGTGGTTCCTAATAGTTGAGGATGTGCCAAGACTCCTCAGTGTCCCAAAGAGGAGCATCTCAGTCAGCACCTAGATGCAGGCTGATTAGAAGCCAGACTCTCAGGAAGCATGGGAAAATATGTAGTTAAGCCCCTTCCAGGGATTAACTGAGAGATGGGTATTTTTGCCTGCTTCCTCTGCACTGAGTCCAGGTGTATAGCCTTGGGGAGGTGCTCCTGCACCCATTTAAAAACTGTGTCTTTGTTGGTTACAGTCTTGTGGGACTCATGAATGCAAGCCCCATTAGCTATAAGAGCCATATGATCTGGGGGTCTGTCCTTCAGGTGACAACCACAAAAGCTGGAGGGTCAAGTGTGTGTACAAGCTCCTCCTAGAGAGATGTTGGCAACCTGATTTTATCATTGAGGTGAGCTGGAGGGATAATGTGGTAGAAGTGCCCACCAGCTCCCCTGAGCTCCAAGGAGGATCACAGCCAAACCCTAGATGTGTGCTAATTAGAAGCCAGACCCTCAGGCAGCAGCAGTTAAACTCCTTTCAGGGAAAGACTGGGAGATGGGCATTTTTACCTGCTTCCTTTGCATTAAGCCCTGGAGGGATAACCCTGGCAAGTGCTCTTGTGTGTACCCATTAAGAACTGCTTCTTTGTTTGCTGTAGTCCTGTTGGACTTGTGAATTCAAGCCCCACTGGCTTTCAGAGTCAGATCCAAGGACTGTTTCTTAGGCGGCAACTGAAAAAGCTGGGATGCCAGGCTGTGTACAAGCTCCTTCCAGAGAGTTGTTGGCAACCTGGTTTTATAGTTGAAGACAGTAGACATGTCTACTAACTCCCTTGGATCTATGGAGGATTGCTACCAGCCCTTGGATGTATGAAAATTAGAAGCTGGACTCTCAAGCACCGGGTTGAAAAGTATTTAGTCAATCTCCTTCCAGGAAAAGACTAGGAGGTGGGTGTTTTGCCTGTTCCCTCTATGCTGAGCCCTGGGGGGATAGCCACCATGAGTTCTCACACTCCTATTAAGAATGACTTCTTTGTTTTCTATAGTCCTGTGGGTCTCACGGATGCAAGCCCTAGTGGATTTCAGAGCTAGGTATTTTGTGGGTCTGTCCCTCAGGTAGCAGCCTTCAAAACTGGGGCACTAGATGTGTGGTCTAAACTCTTTGTTCCTCAGGGAGAAGCTGGAAGTTGAGAGTTCCCTCTTAATTGTATGGCTCTGTGCCAGGGGTAGAGTTTATGCTGAGAGGGTGTCTCAGAATTTCCTAAACATTTCAATGTAGATTTTTTCTGAGCTGCCTGGTGTGTGGGAGTTACTCAGCTAGTCTTTGAATTTCTTTCAGAGGAAATTGCTCCATGTTTAGCTATGTATTCAGTGCATCTGTGGGAAGAGGGAAGTTCAGGAGACTTCTATGTCACCATCTTGGTCCCTCTGACTAAATTAGTTTTGATAAGTTGGTTAAGTAGTAGTTCCCTGTTAACTGTAAATTATAAATGGAATTTTTTTCTTAACTTCACTTTCAGAATGTTTTTTGCTAGTGTAGAGAAATACAATAGATTTTTGTATATTGACCTTATACCCTGAAACCCTGTTGAACTCATTTATTAGTTCTCATAGTTTTTTATTAGATTCTTATATGTTTTCTATATACACATCTTCTTCCTTCGCAATCTGGATGCCTTTTTATTTATTTTTCTTGCCCAAGTGCCCTTGCCAGAACCTTCAGTACAATGTTCAATAGTTATGAGAGGGACATCCTTGTCTCGTTCCCTATCTTAGGGGAAAATCATTCATTCTTTCAACATTATGTATAACGTTAATCTAATATTTCTTTCGATATTAGATTTACTTCACATTTGGGAATCCGATGCACATAGTTCTCAAGAAATAGCTGTTGATTGGCTCAATGAATAAAAAATCCCTCTAGTTTTGGAAGTCACAGTTATTTGGGGATAAATGAATAAGCCAATAGAATCTACAGTACATTACATTATAATGTAGATGTGCACAAGTTACTGGGGTAATCATGTGTTAGAATGATATCAACTACATATGGTAAAGTTTACTTATTTTTAGTGAGAGTGGAGGTTATATTCCCTAATAAAAGCAAAACATTTTTCTACTTCATATATTTTTACTTAGTCATTATATAGACAAATATGCTGCCATCTACTAGGGTTGTTTAAGACAGGCTGTGATACCCATTTTGATATTATAAGTATCAATTCTTTCCATCTTGTGTTGGTTTGTCAATAGTCAATAGAATATTGGCTTTTTTTTTTCCCCTGAATTCTATTGTTTGGGATGAATAGATGTCAAAACCCTTTATTTGCTAGAATGTCCTTACATAATACCATTGTGAATGCAGACATTCCATAAATGTAAGGTCTTTTCTCTTAAAGTGATTAATACCAGACTATATTAGCTTTAAGATTTATATTTTTATTAAGTATATTAAAAACCCATACTATGGGCTTACTAAAAGCTATGAAAAAGACAAGTCAAAATTTCTCTGTATTTTCATGATAATCCAGTAAGTAACAAAATTATATTTTATTCAAGAAACACAATACGAGTTTACAGTCTACTGCTGCATTTTAATATCTCAACTCCATAGTGAAACCCAGTTCACTAAAGACTGTCTCAAAGCATGATGGCCCACTTGCCACGTGAAGAGAGTGGATAAATCAGAATCTCTTTTGTAGCCTTTGGTTCTTTTCCTGCTTCAAGGACAAGATCCTCACCAAAGAAATATGTGGTGGGAAAAGAGAAAAAGGAGAAAACATCCTTAACTTTTTTATGATAAACTTTTGAGATCAAGCCCCTGGGGCAGATGGTACTCTGATACAGCAAGGAGAATGGCCCTCTGCATGGCCAGTTTTCCCCCTACACTGCAACTTAACAATGAATATAGTGAGCCTTGCCAAGAAATCTAAGATGACTTGCCTTAGGACTTTAAGGATTTTATACTAATGCATGGATCTTGTTCAATAACCATCTATATATAATATGTGAAAAGTTGACATAATTTAAAAAAAATTGGGATTACTTCCAAACAAAAGACTTCCTTAAATAGCCATTTTAATCTTATTTTTCTTAAAATTAGAGAACACGGGTAATCAGTTTCGATCGTTCTTCTAATATCCCTAAGTATTGACAATCTTTATCCATAAAGTAGCACATCTATCATTTACACAGAGAAAAGGCCATTATTTAATTTGCCAAGCAATATTATAGTAAAGCAAACATTATAATTAGTTTTAAAGGTCACTTGGGCAGATATCAGGCTAGTCTGCATGAAAATATATTGAATTCTACATTAGAAATATAATGATCATTGCAATAAAAATATTATCCTGTGTTACAAAAAGCTTAGTAAGTAACATAGTTTAATCATTTATTGGAGTACTATTTTAAGGCACAGTTAAAATAATCTTGAATGCTTGAGCAATGATTATGAAAAATAGAAAATAAAGAGTTCTTACCAAGTTTGCAATGATATAATGGTAGCCTTTAACATGCTTTCCAACACTCACAATCTGTGGAGATATAAGGAAATAAGAGAAGACTTATTTAACTTTACTGAATGATTATATGTTTAAAAAATAGAATTTTAACTATTCTACCATAATTCTATGTGGAAACATGATGATAAAATGATATAGTTTTCCTTATAAAAGTGATTTACCCTAATTAGAAGAAATTCATAAGTGACATTAAAAATCAAGTGGTTAAAGTTAAAAAAAAAACACTACTTTTAATCACACTGAATAAATGACCAATCATTTCACTATACCTTGTTCAGAAACCTACTACACTATATTCCCTCAAGGGAATGACAGTGTTAGAAACAAACCAATAGTTTACATATATTTCTTAAAAAGAACACATTAGCATAAGAAACTTAAAATGATTTGGTCCAAAGAATTTAGATGTACTTAATATATTGATAATTTACAGAAATGCACTATAGATAGGTATTTTCAACCAGTAAGAGTGATTTTCTATGAATAGATTGGATTTTTGTCCTGAGCAGCAAGCAAGATTTTTCTAAGGTACAATCTCTGTTTTCAGACATTTCTGACACCACAGAATACTTAGTTAATTCTCACCTGCATAGGGATACAGCAATATTTTGTCATAATAAAAAGAATAAGGACAAAAAAAGGGCCTTTTCTCTTTGCTAGATTCATTTTTTTTGTAAGAATGTTTAAGAAATCAGAAACTGAAAAATTTTAAGAAAAGGAAATAAGATTTTTTTAAAAAAGTACAACTGTATTTCTGCATTAGAGATTAAAACTCTTATTTTCTGTAAAACTGAAACTTCTTTCAATGAAAGAAAATCTAATTAGAGTTACTAATTAGAGGTTACTTTGTAACTTCATTAGTGTCCTCAAAGTTAACAACACAATATAAGATTTTCATGTACTTTCATCATCCAAGAAAAAATTAAATTGTTTTTAGCATTTTAATACTAAAATAATTCTAAAATAATTTTTGTAAATTAGTGACTTGTGTATGAAATACAGGAAAATGCTTTTAACTCCAGAACATATGAATTGTACTAAAAAATAGAGTTTTACATACATGGCTATTGTTGAAATGGAATATCTGCTCATCTCATCTTTTCTTTTTGATTACATCTAAGACCTTCTTTTTGTCTTCAAGGTTCTGCAATTTCACTAGAATGAATTTGGATTTTTCTTTTTAATTTTTGTTTATCTTGTTCAGGATTTGTTGTGCTTCCTGACTATGAGGATTGCCCTTCAACAATTCTAGGAAATTCTCAGCCAATATTCCTTAAAATATCCTTCCAAAGATATTTTGCGTTTGCTTCTAACAGAGATTGCAACGTTGGTATCACTGGCCTGGAGCCACTTTTATGATAATTTCTGAGTTTCCAGATTCCCAGATCCTGGTGTGTGGTATAAATTCAACATACATTCTGTCTAAAGAAGTCTGTGATGACAAATTCTCAGAGAAGATATTTCTCTCACCACATGAAGCCCTGGCCAAGACAGAAAACACTTAGTTGACTCCTTGTTTAGGTGGGAAATTTTTTTCTACTCTTCTCTTGTATTGGGGTGTTGCTCTTCAATAGTCTGGCTTTATATGAGCTCTGAGGTCTAACTTAGTGCCTCAATGAGCCCAAAGTTCCTGTTCTTGGGTGAGCATTAAATCCCCAGTCAGGCTACTCAATCTGGCAACTTCCTTCAACACCGTTGCTTTTCATTCCTGGACCCTGAGGATTTTCTTTACTTTCTTGGAAGCTCAGCTATGCATTTGTAATAGTTTACATAGCATTCCTACATGTTTTATATCGCCAGATTTATCTAGTCCACAATTTATTTAAATCTGAACTTCCTTTGACAATCTCACCATAAAGATGACGACAAGCAATAACCAGAGGGGATTATAAAGAAAATTCAGTAAAGAAATAACTTAATTACTCATCATATTGGTTTACCCAAGCCTGAGTGATTTAGCATGGACTGAGTAGGCTGGAGCCCTCTTATTCTCTGGGAAACTCAGGTGCAGTTTGTGCAAAATAAAATTATCAAGGAACACTTGATGGTTGGTACTCAGTTGGGAAACTGCACACTCTATTATTGAGTCTACGAGAGATTCTTGCTATTTGAGCTCAGCAGGAACTGCTGTCACTCAGCAACCCATTATGTATCTTTTCCTGATTCACTATAACTTTCTCTGGTGTGGCTGTTTAAGCCTTTCTGCATGCTCTTTAAGCCCCCTACTCATCCTGCCTCTTCTCTCTCAACACTCTCAGCTTGCGATTTCTGTGTGGCCACAGTCAATAACCTCTGCTTTCTTTTAAATTCATTTTAAAGTATAAACACTTATAAATGTTTAAAAAATGTGGACATTCTGCACTAGGTGTTTCCATAAAGAAATCACTGTCAGTTCTAGATTGCCTGCACAGAACTGTAATAAATTAAAGCTTATATAATACATTATCAAGGGGTGAGGACTTATAGAAATCACAAAGAACTGAAAGTGACAAAAATCCTGGCAGAAAAGGCCTTGCAGAGCCTGATATGCATCGATATTATGGGAACTGAGGGCCTCAGGGAGCAGTGATCTGAAGATTTATTTACCTGGCTCATGATGCTAGAGAGAAAACCATTTTTTGCTGAGCCAGATCCTGGCTTGGAAAGAACAAATGTGCTGCATGAACTGTTGCGAAGGCCTCATTGCCTTTGAACACCTACAACCCTGACCTGGGGAGACCACGGTTTAAGGCCAGATCTTGGTCCCTCTGCCAATCATCCACCACTAAATGGACGTTTCTTGATGAAAAAATCCAATTTATACTCCATAGTAAAGTGTCCTGCACCTAGAGTGTTATTTGTTTAAGTTTTTTTTTAATGATTGTGTAAAACTGACAATGTCATGGGTGTGATTTTACATGGTTTTCATCATCTCAACCAAGTGAAGACCACCTCATGTAAAAAAACCAAATCTGAGTGACTTGACTTGGGATGCAGACCAAACCTCGTGTCTCCCTATTTCCCATGTTATTCTTTTATAAAAAGGGAAAATAAATAGCTTGAGGTGAAAGATATGAACATAAAATAGCACAACTGTCAAACAGGTGTGTTTAGCCAAATTGTTAAGGGAAAACAACGCCTAGGGTGAGGACCTGGTTGCAATAATTAATTATGGTCTTCTTAGAAGGAACAGAGGATGCGATAATGCAAGGAATAACGATCAAGCGTCTGTATAGAGTGGAGTCGTAAAGAATAGGTTAGGAAGGATGTACAAGTGACATTGATCATGCCCTTCTAAAGAAGCCCATCTGTGCAGAATAAAATACTTAAGAAAAGTGACTAATTGATTCTTTTAATTACTTTTCTTGTTTGCTTTCTAGGAAACAAGCAGTTGTTTAGGAATATCTATGGTGCTGATCAAATGATTCGGTTCTAAAATCAGGCCTATGTACAGTAATAAGATAAACGTCAGATGCAATCACTGCAATTGTTTTATTAACAAATTGCGGCATAATCAGTCTTTATGAATGATAAATCTTCTAAATCTTTATTTATTAAAATTAGAGAAAAATGAATCCAGGATACTTTTCCATCTTGACCCCACTTTTACATAAACTTAGTTCAATAACTGTCTCCTGCGTATAAGTTTAGGGCATGGAGATTCAAGGATTATAAAGATAAGTCAGTCAGTGCTGCTGTTACAAGGGTGTTTATTATCTCATAAGGGAATGAGACTCAAACAGAAATGACTGAAATACAGGGCAGAGTAAAGAGAGAGCCATGGGTTTTAAGGAGAAGTGATATCATTTAGTTGGGATAATGAAGTAGTTTTTAAGAGAGAATAGACGCTACATAAATATTGATTGGATGAATGAAAAAAGAAGTTAATGAGGATGTAAATGTCACAAACAATAGTATATTAAGACTAATTTGAGACTTGCAAATGAAGGTAATTTAGGCCTTCAATCCACAATCAGATTTTATGTAAATCCTCTAGGCATCAAAGGTTTATAAAGCACTCGGGGGTCTTTCTAGATAAGACCTGATGTATATTACCTCAAACTATTATCATGAAGCTGCGATCGTTGTATTGAGCACTATCTTCAAGATAAAAACCTGCAGTGGCACACTTCAAGATGCATGATTTTGGTTTCCCTTTTAATTTGATTTTATAAGTCAGCTGGGAATTCCTCTCCCAGTTGATACCATGTTCCAGAAAATTCAGCGACATGGTGAAAACAGTACCACATATTTGGCGGTGTTAGGGATATGATGCTTGGTAAGTGTTGGACACTTAGAGTAATGAGGGCAGTCACTCTCACTAATCCTTTTTTCTATAGAAATTCCAAACTCCTGAATGTTCCCTGAATGTTGATTTTTAAGACGCTTCAAAATATTTTATTATAGATAAAAGCAAAAGCTCTAGTGTGTTTAGTTAGTTTAGTTAGTTTACTTCAGTGCCATCAAAAGAAAAACATAAGGCAAGGGGCTTTTGCAAACAAGCTGCAGATTTAAACTACAACCTTGTAAGAAAATAACAGGACTCTTAGTTCCAGGGGTATGATGCACAGACAGGGAAAGGAAAATAAAGAATCCCAGACCGAAAAGAACTAAGGCTGCATAGTGTGAGAAGAGACTTAGGGAGAAGATAGGGAATGAGAGCTGTCATCAAATAGTTTAGGAGAAAGAGATATACACACATATTTTTGTGTGTATATACACCTTTGTATGGGTGTATATGTATTTTGCATTTTCTTCTATACTTGGAGATGTTAGAAATTCTAAAAGTTTCTAATGAGGACAAACTTTTTTTAGGGGAAAGGGAGGGGAAAAGAGTTGCCCATAAAAGGAATGGCTACCTTTCAAAGTGGTGATCTCTCTTTCACTGGAAGCCGCTAGCAGAGACTGACTGACTACTAGTCAAGTTGTTGGAGTAGAGTCCTTCATTGGGCACTAGAATCTTGTGCAGACTTAAAATCCTATGTCTGTATTGTAGTCATTGTTAAAGACACTATTGATGCCCCCCTATGCTT